CTGAGCAGCGAATGTCAACTTCCTCGAGTGTACAAGAGGGCCCCGGCGGATCCCCTTTCCCGGGCTTGTGCTAGGCACCCCGACCCACCTCTGTGCCCCTCTCTCCTTCCTGTGCGTGCAGGGAAGGGCCAGGCTGCTGCCACCCTGGAGCATTCGGCGCCCTCAGCCCATGTCCTGGGCGCCCACCTGCGGCCACGCCGTTGCTCCTGCAGCTCCTGGCTCGACAAGGAGTGTGTCTACTTCTGCCACCTGGACATCATCTGGGTGAATACTCCCGGGTGAGCATCCGTGGGGAGCCAGGTGGGGACTGCTGGGGGTGGGTGCCAGCGTGGGGGCTGCAGGCATGCTGGGGAAACTCTGGCACTCTCCAATCTTCTTGGGGCCTCCCTATGAGGGCATGGGCTGATATCATTAGTTACCAGTTATTGTTTCCTCTCCCACGTGGGGCCCACCTGAGCCCTGCAGAGGGCTGTCTCCTGAGAATTCTCACAACAGCCTGGTGAGAAATTGTTGGCTCCATTCTCCAGATCAGAGCTCTGAGGCTCAGAGAGGTTAGGCACCTTCCCTAAGATCACAAAGGAAAGAGCAAGGGGTAGACTGCATTCTCGGTCCAAGGATGCCAGAGCTCACACCCACTCTGCCATGCTGCCTCTGCATGGTCTTCCAAGAATAATACGATTAGTGACAGCACCCATGTCTTGACTGCGCCAGGCCCCATGCCAGGCGCTGCACGTGCATTGTCATCTCATGAGGTCCCAGCCTCCCCATGAGGCAGGTACTGCTGTTGTCCCCAGTGACAGCTGGGAGAACTGCCCCATGGCGGCGCCTGGGTGGGAGCCTAGCGCTGTCTGTTCGGCCTGCACTCGCACTGCCTCCGGGCCGCTGCATACCTCAAGTTGAAGTTTCTGTGTGTGTTTGTGTGTTTTTTTTTTTTCCTTCCCCAAATTGCAAAAGCAAGAGAAGGCTGGCACGTAAGCGTGTATGGAGCTAATCCGCATCCAAACACTCACTCAGGGCGGGAACCCTGCCAGTCCCTGCGTGCTGGGTCTACCTGGAGTCATTATGGCTCCAACCACCCTGGCTAAATTTAGCTCTGTCACCCGAAGGTGCTGGTCCAACCAGCCACAGGGCCCCGGCCCTCCCCCAGCCCGCCTTGATCAGACTCTGAGTCTGAAATCAATCCCATCTGAACACACACACACACACACACACACACACACACTATTTTAAAGTCAAAGTTCTAAGGCACAGTTTTTACCCTCCAGGCAATTGGTGACCAGGTGAGGGCAGCTTTGCTGTGATCCTGTGCTTTTACTTCCATGGGGTAGAGGGTCCTCCCTTTCTCCAGGGCTAGCTGAGAACCTTCTCTGAGAACAGGGGAACCAGCCTGTCTGAAGGGGGGATGGGAGAGGGACTAGGAGGAATCCCTGGCTCCCGACTTTGGGTGGGCCCCCAAATTCCACCCCTTCCTCCCCATGCTGGGAACTCTCACTGGGCTGAGCCAGGCCCAGAAAGGGAAAGGTCTTGTCCAGAGCTAGTGGCACTTGTAGGGGGGGCTGTAACATCAGTGGTGAGGCCTCTGAGGCCAGGGCTGGTCACCTTTCAATGCCACCCTGGTGGCATGGGTGACTGTCCCAGTGTGCAGCGTGAACAGTCCCTGCTTGCCAATGGTTATGGTTTATCTGATCAATCCTCTCTTTCCCTTCTTCCCTCCCTCTCTCTCCCCACCGCCCCACACCACTACCTTGCTGGCTGCCCGCCCACAGAAAGACAGCTCCTTACGGCCTGGGAAACCCGCCAAGACGCCGGCGCCGCTCCCTGCCAAAGCGCTGTGAGTGCTCCAGCGCCAGGGACCCCGCCTGTGCCACCTTCTGCCATCAAAGGCCCTGGTAGGTGGGCACCCAGCCTGCAGGGGCGAAGGGTGGCTGCTGGCCTAGACCAGCCCTGGGGAGCAGGTGTCTGGAATATAGCAGAGAAGCAGAGTGGCTAGTTGGGACTCCTAGGGGCATAGGCTGCTCTGAGTCTTGGCAGTGGCCCTTCCCAAGGAAACCAGTCACCCCTGGGTCACTCACACTACCCAGCTCTGGGGGCTTCTGAGAGCACTCATGTCATCACTCCTGGTGGGAGGGAATCTCCCCAGGTGACAGCTGAGGCAGCGCAGGCCAGAGAGGGGATGTGTCCTGTCAGGCTGCACAACTAGTCAGAACGAGGGCTGGGCCTTCACCCTCAGTCTGTCTGATCAAGTCCCACAGGCTTTGGATTCCAACCTGGGGCTCAGGAGACTTTGGAGCTTGCTTGGAGAAGAAATTGCACCTGGAATTGGGAAGCCATGGCCCCTTCCCAGAGTGGGCACAGAGTTGCTGACGGGAAAGGGCTTTACCAAGTCCCTTAACCTCCCTGGGTCTCAGTTTTCCCATTTGTAAAAGGGGTGGGAGATTTTGTTCCTCCCCTCCTGCACATGGAGCATTTGGGAAAGCCGGAACTGGCTTCAAAATCCAAGCTCCGGTTCCCATGGTGGTTTACGAGAAACACCTTTTCTGGGGTTTGAGCTGTGCTCCACCCCTGCCTCAGTTTCCCCTGCAGCTGCAGGCCTGCAGGTGGCCAGATTCTGGGAAGGCCAAACACCCAGCTGCCTCTTTCTGAGGCTAAGAACACATTCCTGGTAGCTCAGTTTTCCTCGGTTCCCACCTAGCCTGGGAAAGGAAGGATGCCAGGTGCACCGAGGTGGAAATGAATCTGCCCCTGAAGGCAGGTGGCGGTGGGGTGGGGGCTGGGCCAGGCCAGCAGCCAGGTGGCTTTGAGGCCCTGGACGGCCCCTCACTTGGGCCCTAATGCTGTTCATGCAGGGCCGAAGCCGGAGCAGTCCCAAGCCACGAGTCCCTTGCAGAAGTGTTCCAGACTGGCAAGACATGGGCCACGGCAGGAGAGCTCCTCCAGAGGCTGAGGTGAGTGGCACCTGCACAGATTGAGCACTTGCTGTATGCCTTGCGCATTTCCCTTATTCTCCATGTGAGGCAGGACTGGGTCCTCACTGGGCAGCTAAGAAAACTGAGGTTCAGAGAAGTGAAGCCACTTGCCCAAAGTAACACAGCAGCCATTGGCATCTGGCTCTTTGTAACCACCAGGCTTGGAAGTGTACTTTTTAGAGGGTTTGAGGCTCATGATTGGGAAGGACCACAGTTCTGAACCGAGCATCCCTGCATGCTGGGTCCAGACTGCCCAGTCAGCACCCACCATGCTGCCCAGGCCACATCTCCTTCCTGGTGCCTGGTGTGGCTCAGCTCCAGACCTGGCCCCCAGGAAATGCCTGAAAATGTCTGTCCAGCCAAAGCAACTCGAGAACAGACACTCACACCTGGCCAGGCAGCTGAGAGGCTGACACCTCTGGGGCAGGGACTGCCTGATCTGAACCCCAGCGCTGCCTCGAGCAAGCTTCCATCCCTGGGGGTGTTGTGAGGCCAGATGAGCTGTCACACATGAGGCATGCTGCACAAGGTCTGCACCCTGGGGGCACTAGAGAGGTCAGCCATTCTCACTGTCACTGAGGACTCTTCACAGCTGGCCAGTGCTGGGGCCCAGCCCAGCCCCTCAGGGGTTCCCATCTTCGGGAGAGGCAGAAAAATAGAGGCAAGGCAGGATGGTGGGATGGGCAGGACCTAGATTGTCCTTAAGAACTGTCTGAGGATGAAAAAAGTCAGGATATGACTTTGCAAGCACACAACACTTCACAGTGTGCAAAGCACTGGCTCTGCCAGCTGTGTTCTCGCCCTCGCAGTGCTTCAGGCCTGCTTTTCCTTCACAGGCCTAGAAGGGCTCAGAGAGGCTGAGACCCTTGCCCAAGTCCCACAGCAAGGAACTGGGCCACCTCCTAGCTTCCAGGCTGGAACGCTTTGAGCCAGGAAGTGGCCACTTTGATGCCACCAGGGTCCCGACCAATGTCTCAGCCAGGTTCAAAGGGCAGCAGGAGCCCTATTTGTCTGGGCTGGACCACCTTGAGAAATATGTAGAATTTCAGCAGGTGGCATTTGGGTGAGGGAAAGGTATAGAGTCTGGAAGGAACAGCAGGAGCAAAGGTAGAAGAGCAGAAGGTCCGATCCCGGGAGGTCCTCAGGGCTGTTCTTGGCTTTTGGTCATCCTGACAGCATTTGATGTTGACTATCAGCTTTGCCAAAGCCTCTGTGGGCAGAGAAGCTTCTAGGCCTGGTCTAGCCTGCCCTAGATGTGCAGACTTGGTTCCCAGTCCATGGCCACCCCAGGATCTGGGCAAGATCTCGTCCCTTGACCCCTGTATGTCATGGGGAGCTCTCCAGCAGTCCTGAGATGCTAAATTGACCCTTCTTTGTTCCCAGGAATGTTTCTGCAGTCAAAATCCGCTTTGCCAAGCGACCGCAAGAGGCAGCGAGGAAGCCCAGGTCCACACACTCCAGGTGGAGGACAAGATAGCACTGTGAGCTGGAGGAACTTTGGGAAGGAAACCCACGTGGAGACAGGAGGAGAGAAGCAGCCCAGGGTTCACGGGAGACCCTCAGCCCAGCCCTCTGGACCCACTTGCTGGGGTTGGCACAAGCTCTGGCCCCCTCACCCTGGCGAGGGTGCCTCCCTCAAGGCAGCTCCATGCCCTCACACTGCTTAGGAAAGCCCTTGACTTCCAGACTGCAGAGTGGCCTCCCGGCACCAGCTGCTGGTCCACAGCCCCACTGGAAGGAACCATGTGGGATGCACACACGTCTGGAAGCTGTGTCCTGAGTGTCCTGTGCACACCTGGGTCAGCCCTGGAGGCTAGAGGGGTCTTCCAGGGGCTACGTCCTGGCTGGCTGTCCGTCCCCTCTAGCCCTCCCTTCCCAGAATTTTTATACCCTCTTGCCCTCAGGATGCACCTGGTGAGAAGGGCCTACTCTGCTTCACCTGCCTGTACATAACTTATTTGCTCTGAAAATTCTGGGAACCCCAATTATTTATTTAATGTATTTTTTTAGGCCCTTGCTTACCTGCGGACTTGTGTTTGTAATAAACAATGAAATGGTACTCTGGCACTTTGTCTTGGCTGAGGCAGGAGTGAGAGGCTCTCTCAAGAAGGGGCTGCTTGGAAGTTATGGGGACACGGGCAGGGGAGGAAAGGACTGGGACAGGTGGCTGGAGTCCCAGTTTCATGCCCACCCTTGCTGGGCGTCTCTGGCTGCTAACCTGCCCTTTCTGGGCTTTACCTGTCATGTGCCTTGACAGCAACTGCAGCTGTGACTTTAGGATTCCAGGACCTATAATCCCATCAGGCCCTTCCCCAGAGCATGTTTGGAAGAAGCCAAGACTGCAAGGGTGTGGAGACCCATGTGCCCAACTGCCCTGTCCCACAGGAGCTGACTGCAAGACCCTCAACACATCTATCGCGTGAAAGGAAAGGCCAGGTGGATCCCAAGGCTGTGCATGCCCCAGTGGTCAGTGCTGGGTGCTATGGGGCAGCCACAGCCTGACCCTGACCTTGCCCCTCACCTTCAGCCTTGGGGTACCCGCTGGAGTAGGGTTCGACACGTCTCTGACAGAGGAAGCCCAGGGATCTAGCACCGGGTTTGCTAATCCTGCCAGAACACAAGCAGCAGCCCACTGGGTCCCAGGAACAGCCTGCAGCCAGGGCCACTCCTGCTGGCAGCTGCCTGGACCCTCAGCCTCCAATTCCGCCAAATCTCCCGCCAGCAAGCTATGCCCTTTTTCCCATGGCTGGCCAGTCTCGGGATGTCAGGCTGCGGCCTGAGCCAGCTCTCGGGAAATACTGATGGACTGAGCAAGAATTATTTGCCAATGCTGTAACCCTGCCTTGTCCACAAAGCCGGCTCTGACCCCTTGTGGAAGAATAACATGCTGATATGCATTGAGCTCCTACTGTATACTGGCTCTTTATCCAGATTAACTCTATTCATCCTCACAGCAACCCTGTGACATAGGTGTTTCTGTTAGCCTCCATTTACAGGAACCCAGGTATTCTGGCTCCAAAGTCTGTGGTGTGTATGTGCATAATAAATATTTGTTGATTGAATTCATGGATCACCATTGCAGTTTGACCTTGAACAAATCTCATTTACTTTCTGAGGTTCTATTTTGTTTTCACCTAGAAAATGGGAAGTAGTAGTCCCTACATCCCAGGGCTGGCGTACTCACTAAACAGAGAGTGACAGTGCCAATCATTTGGGTCACTGAACTCTGATCCCTGGCCAGGACTCCTGGGCCTGTGCCAAGCGCAATGAGCACTCGCTTCCCTCCACGCCCTCCACCGGGATCCCCCATGCCTCTCCCAGGCCTCTGTCACAGCTGTGGTGGTAGGGCTGCTCCATCGACAGCCTGGTCTGGCAGCCCGGGAGGCAGAGACAGGTGAGGGTGACGCCACTGTCCCTCAGATCCTCAGTCCTGGGAAGTAGGGGCCTCTGGCTGGGCCCCGGGGACCCTGGGCGGGCCCTGGTCTGGCCATACCTCTCTCTGTGGGACAAGAAGTATGCAGAGCCATGGGGTCATATGTACCTGATGTCTGAACTTGCTTCTAGACCACAGTCCAGCAGTGCAGGAAAGGTGGGCTTGAGTTTGGGGACAAGCAGAGAAAAATACATGAAGAGCAGCTCCCAGGTCAAGGGGACCCCAAGAAGAAGGGTGCCTAAATCTCAGGAGGCTTGACTTTTGTGGGACAAGATCTCCCCTTCTCCGGCCTTTTCAGTGAACGTAGAACAGGCTTTTTTCAAGAACTTTTGGGTCAAGTTTGTGCTCCCTTTGGAGAACTAGGCAGAGACAGTCCAGAAGGGGGCACAGGATGACCCAGAGTTTTTGAGGTTACATGGACCAGAGGAAGCCCAGGCAGAGAGAGTTGGGTCCTATGTCCAGGTCTGTGTGGCCCAACACACGCCCAGGCTCGACAAGGCTGCAGCTGGGAACACCACACCCCCCACCTTCTCTCCCCTCTCTCTCCTCCCAATTTCCTCTCCCCCATTCTCCTCCTCTCCCCCTCCCTATCCTCTCTCTCTCTGTCTCTTCCCTCTCTCTCTCCTTTCTCCCCCTACCAATTTCCTCTCCCCCTCCCCCTTCTCTCTCTCTCTCTCTCTCTCTCTCTCTCTCGCTCTCTGTCTCTTCCCTCTCTCCCTCTCCTCTTTCTTTCTCCCCCCAATTTTCTCCTCCTCTCTCCTCCCCTGCAACCTCCTCTGTCTCCTGTCTCCTCCCTCTCTCTCTCTCTCTCTCTGTGTCTCTCCCCCTTCTCTCTTCTCTCCTTTCTCTTTCTTCTCACGGCAATTTTTTCTCCCCTCCTCTCTCCTCTCACTCTCCCCTCTCTCTCCTCGCCTCTCTCTTCTCTTTCTCCCCCCATTTCTTCTCCCCCTCCCCCCTCTCTCACGTTCCCCTCACTCTTCTCTCTCACTCTCATATTGAAAATAGAGAGGAGACGGAGGCCCAAAGAAGGCGAGTGATTTTCCTCAGGTCAGGTGCAGCGGCTCAGCCTATAATCCCAACACTTTGGGAGGCCGAGGCTGGAGAATTGCTCGAGGCCAGGAGTTTGAGGCCAGCCTGGGTGACATAGTGAGAACTTGTCTCTACAAAAATCAAAAAGGTAGCTGGGTATGGTGGTGTGCACCTATAATCCCAGCTACTCAGGGGGCTGAGGTGGAAGCATCATCTGAACCCAGGAGGTTGAGGCTGCAGCGAGAAGTGACCTTGCCACTACACTTCAACCTGGGCAACAGAGTGAGATCCCTCACTCAAAGAGAGAGAGAGAGAGAGAGAAGGAGAGAGAATAGAGTCCAAGGAGCTGCGTTTTCAGTTCAGAAGAGTCATTTACCTAACAGGGTGATAAATTATTGGAATGTGTCCATCTATTCATTCAACAATTATGAATAATTGCCTCTAGGGAGACTCTTGTGAGCAAGACAGACACAACCCCTGCCCTCACGGGCCAAGAGTCACTCAAGGAAACACTGTTACTTCTTAAGATAAAAAGAGTGGCTCAGCCTGTAATCCCGCGCCTTTGGGAGGCTGAGGTGAGTGGATTGCCTGAGCCCGCAGGTTCGAGACCCGCCTGGGCAGCGAGACCTCATCTCTACAATAAGTCAAAAAATCAACCGGACGTGGTAGCGCACGCATGTAATTCCGGCTACTCGGAAGGCTGAGGCGGAAGGATCGCCGGAGCCCAACAGGTCGAGGCTGCGGTGGCCGGGAGCGGCCACTGCACTCCAGTCTGGGCGACTGAGTGAAACTCCAACTCAGAAAAAGAATAGCTAACATTCACTGAGCACTTACTAAGTGTTGTCCACATAACCCCTTGGATCCTTACAGCATCTCTATGTAGCAGATTCTATCATTATTATTCTCATTTGATAGAAAAGGTAACTGAAGCACAGAGAAGTTAAATAGCTTACTCAAAGTCACACAGCTTGGATGTGGCTTAGCTGGGATTTAAACTCCTAGTTCTTCACATCTGTGCTTTTGTACCTCTCTGATAGGGTCTATCCACACCGTGATGGGAGCCCCTGGGGAGGAAGAACCCAGGGTGATATCCTGGAGGAAGTGGCATCTAGATCAAGCTCTGGGACAGTCAGTCAAGTGAAGGAGGAGGATGGAGAAGAAGGTTCCAGGCAGAGGGGACAGCACAAGGAACGTCATCTTCTTCATCGGAAGGTCGCTAGTTCCAGCATCTTTGAGGATGTGAAAGGAGGGGCTGGGACAGGCTGGGAGGGGCAGGCAGGAATGGGTGTGCACTCGTGAGCACCTGGCATGGGGGTACCCTAGGCAGGGTGACCTGTGCCACTGTCACCCTCCACCACAGCCTCAGAAAACGTCTCCCAGGAGACATTGTCTACTGTGTTCCTATAGGGCTTCATGCCACTGGAAATCAAACTAGCAGTCCTCAGTGGTCTCACAGGCTAGCAGGGAAGACAGACCCAGGCAGAATGGAGGAACAGGAGGTGGAATAAGTCATGAGCTGGCCTTCTATCTGTTGGGGCAATTGAAGGATGGGTAAGGCGTGCACTTGCTGGGATTAGGAAAAGGTCATCATAGTAGGGCATGGTGTGAGGTGTATCTGACCAGAGTATGGAAGAACCCAGGGAGAGACAGCCAGCCTGACTGCTAGGGGCCAGGCTAGGGATGGCATCCAATGCCAGGAATTTGGACTTGAGTGATAGAGAGCAAGCGAGGGTTGCTCATGAAGGGAGAGCCAGGACGGGAGCTGGCCTTGGGCTGTCAGTTCATCGCCGGCCCCTCCCTGGCCAGGGCTTCCAGCCCACCAGGCCCTCCCAGCCCCTCTTGAGGGAGAGCAGAGTGTAGGCCTCGCCTTGGCCTGCCAGGGATCTGAGCCAAGAGCCCCCGGCAGCTCAGGAGGGGGTCGTGTGCAGGCCCGCTGGGAGCCCAGGAAGAGGAATGCAGCCTAATTAATTCTCTGCAGCTCACAGGGCCTCGCCTCATGGGAGCAGCTGCTGGGA